GGAAGGGGTGGGAGGGGCAGCAGCTCATCATCCGGGTCTCAGTGACTCTTCAGAGCTCCACGTGCTGCCCTTAAAGACAGTGTCGTGAGGAAAAAGAGCCAATGAAGCATTAAGTCATCCCAGACAGTATCTGCTTTTTTAGTAAATGAAAGATTTTAAATATAAAGAGACACATAATAATAACAGAGGTGCTTCTTAAGAACATCAGCATAGTATATGAATTAGTTACTAAAAGCTTGGCCCGTATCATTGACAAAGTGCCATACTACATATTTATTTTTGTTTTTTATGCTTTGGTTATGTAATGGTATTGCAAGTCCTATGATCTTGTGGCAAAAAAAGTCACCCAAATGTGTTTTACGTGTGTGAATGCGGAAAAATGTGCAAATGTGCAGGTAGGCAATGAGATGCTGTCTAACAGATGTCTGAACTGGGAGAATGGTCACGGGAATATTTGTTCCTTCCAAGGATATTTCAAATCATAGTGTGCATAGTATAAGGGAGTACTCAGTCAAATTTTGTGAAAAGTTTCACAATATGCCTACAATAAGACATACTAGATTATATAAATTCATTTTTTAACCAAAAACACCCCCTTAAATGATATTGCTTTGCTGAATCTACAGAGCAGGTTATTGACAGAAACTTAAATTTTAGTTTCCATTTTAAGATAAACGTCCAGACTGTTTTCTCCTGTCTAAAAAAGTTAAACCTTGCACATTCTCAGCAGAATGTTTCTCTTTTCTTTTTTCCTTTCCTTTTCTTTCTTTCTTTCTTTCTTTCTTTCTTTCTTTCTTTCTTTCTTTCTTTCTTTCTTTCTTTCTTTCTTTCTTTCTTTCTTTCTACAGTAGATAGAATACCATTTGAGCTAGTAGTATCTGCATTGACAAGGTCCACTGCAGAGACAATCTTAGAAAGATGTAGCAGAATCCGTGCAACCATAAAAGGTACTCCTTTCCCTTGTAGCATGCTGCATTCCTGTGCCTCTTAATTAATGCTTTTCATCAGAAGAAACGACAACCTTGCATTCCTGCCTTAATTGAATTGGTGCTTATAGTGGATTGTATCATGTTCAAAGACTGAAAGATTAGATATTCATTTGTGCCTGGTTTTTAAAGTGGATCTTTCTGAGCTTTCTCTATTCAGTATTCACTACAGTTGAGTAAATTTTGGGGGAAAATCTGTATTGTATTTGTGTAGAATTACAAAATATCACTGGTTTAGATCTGAAGTTATACTCATATGCTTTCCCTAATTTTTTTTTATTACCCTTTGCGTAATTGTAAAGCAAGAGAGCCTTCCAATTACAGGGACCACTGACAAACACAAACAGCAGCCAAGTACCCGTGGGCATGCCATCATCACCGCACTGCCCTCAGAAATGCACCCACAGCTTCATCACGATTACAGATGCCACAACAACAGGGAAAGCAGATCCTGGGGGAAAGCAGCAGTGGCAGAACCTATGGGCTGATCTGTGAGAGTGAGTCCATGCAGCAAAAATGAGAAAAGAAATGTATTCGTGGTTGAATCTATTGGCCACATTGCTAAGGACAAAAATCTAACCACCTAGGTGAATCTAAGGACCAGATTCAATAAAATACTGTCTGGCTTTTATGCCAAGCGATTTGGGCCTGGAAAAATCAACTTTCTGGAACTTGTAAAGTCTTCCATAGTCAAGGGGAAGTCAGTATTTCTCTCCATCCCAGAGCAGGCTGAGGAGACGCTTGAGGCCTGGGTCAGCCATGGCCTTGGTTGCCTTGGTTGCAATGGAAACGTGAAGCACAAGAGAGCTGGCCACTGTCAAACTGTGCATTTCCACCCGTAGTACTATCAGGTATCCTTTATTCAGTCATGCGTGCATTCATTTATTCACTTTTCCATTTATTCATCAGACAATTGGGTGCTTCAACTCTGTGCCAGTGCTGCACTGTAGGCTGAGAAACTGAAATGAAAATGCATGGTCCCTGACCTCAGCTCAGCACTTGCAATGTAGTGTCATAAAGATTCTTTAAAGGAATGTAGAGGACCACATGGGAATATCGAAAAGAGGCATCTAATTTAGTCTGGGAGAGCGTGAGTCCATCACCAAAAAGGTGATAGGTGAGACCAGACATAGTCTGGATACAGACCAATGGC